TTTCATGATTTAACTGGAAAAAAATACTCTTTATTAGTGCATCCACACACAAACATATTACTATTAATCTAACTTGGATGCTGGTGTGAAGAAATAGGATTCTTAAGGAGAAAATAGATAATTTATATCATCAATATAAAGAAAATAATTAGTGGATAGTGAGGACATGACGTCACAGACTCATGAGTGAGTTGCCAATTTGTCTAGTGATTTTCAAAGTTTTTCTTATTAGTTATCCGATTTTGCTCAGACTTTTTTTGATTGGTTAGTCTGAGTTTTCTGCTTCTATTGAAAGTAAATTATTTATGGAGTGGACTTGGGTTTTAACTTGTTAAGTCTCTATATCATATGAAACTTTTCAAGAAGAATCAGCTGCCATGTATTTTTAATGAGATTGTTCATTGCAAATGCTGAAGTTCATTCTTATGAAACAAGAAGCTCAAATAAGTTTCATTTGCCCTCTGTGAAAACGACTTTCTCCAAAGAAACATTTATTTTAGTGGACCTTCACTATTGAATCTACTTCCTAACTCCATTCTTTTTAAGCCAAATTTGAAACAGTATTTGATTATGTATCCATGTCTTATATGTATGGTGTTTCTCACTATTTTTTAAATCTCCCTATCACACTAATTCCATCTATATATTGTATTCATTGGTACCACAACCCCATTTCTACTCACCCCACTCATAGAGTTGCTGGTAATATATAAATAATACACAGCAGTAAGGGCATTAGTAAGAATTACCCACACAAGGTACCTTTGGAAAAGTCTAACACACCCGAGGCGGGAAATTTTATAATGCCCGAACAAAATGATGTGTATTATTTGTTTTATAAAATCATGACTTGGATCCTTGTTATTTGATCAATCACCCTCATATCAAACTCAAGAGCCCGAATTCACAAAGGATGTTTAAAACTAACCCATGGTTTAAATCCTCATTTACATAACCCATGGTTTAAAATAAGCGCAAATTGAGGCGTACCTTGCCTTGCGCGCGTCTAATATTGGACCTCTGACTTGTGTCTCGCTTATGATAGCAACAACAAGCTAGATAATGTGTTAATGACCAGTCATTAACATTGGGTAATGACCGGTCATTACCATTATTAGGATAATGACCGGTCATTATCCAAATTACGCGTTAGGCAAAATAAATGCCTGGTCACGTGTACGCTTTTACTAATCATTCGATTAGGATCCACGTCATCATCTTATAAAACAAAATATAATTGTATGTTTTTATTGTTTAATTATTAAAAAAAAAAGTTATTGCATTTTAATATTGTAGTTTTAAGCAGGAGAGGATCCCCGATTAAACCTCTGTAGTTTTGTATCACCCTCTGTGCTGGTTCATCTTTTGTTTTAATGCTGTATAATTGATTGTAATTTATATTGTCTTTTTATGAATATGTGGAAATAAATGAAATTGAATTTGTTGAAGGAAAAGGGGCGCCTATCAGATTTTAATAGAACATTATCAGATGTGAAAAGGAGCATTTATGAAAAGGGGAAGGGGCTGTTATAAAAAAGAAGAGGGGCACTTATCAGAAAGGAAAAGGGTACTCATAATAAAAAAGGGGTGGGACACAGTAAAACGGGCAGTTATCAGAGATGAAAAGTGGCACTTCTCGCACCTGTGAAGAGGCACATACCTGTGATGAAAAGGGGCACTTATGAAAATGGAAGAGAGGCACTTATTATTAAAAAAAAAAGGGATATTTGTTGAAGGAACATGGACACCAAACAGATTTTAATAGGGGCATTTATCAGAGGTGAAAAGGGGGCATTTGTGAGAAGGGCAAGGGGCTCTTAACAAAAAGGAAAAGGGGCATTAATTTTATCAGAAGAAAAGGGCAATTAGTTATCAGGAAAAGGTGCACGTGTAAAAAAACGGGCACTCATTAGAGGGGAAAAGGGGTATTTATGAAAAGGTGAATGGGCTCGTAATAAAAAGAAAAACAGGCACTTATTAGATAGGAAACGGGGCATTTGTCAAAATAAAAGTTGCACTTAATATAAGAGGTGAAAAGGAGCACTTCTTAGAAGGGGAAAGGGCAATTATTACAGAAAAGGGGGATCTTGTCAAATAATACGAGCACCTCTCGGATCTGAAAAGGGGCAATTATTGAAGGTGAAGGAGGCAATTATCAGAACTGAAAAACAGCACTTCTCGTACCTGAAAAGGAGCACTTACCATAAATTAGAATAGGCACTTAAGAGAATGGAGAATGGACACTTAATTCAAAGGAAAAGGGCATTCGTCGAAGGAAAAGGGGCCCCTACCATATTTTAATAGGGGAAAGGGGTTCTTATTTTAACTAATGTGGGTACTAATCACGAGGAGAAGGAGCACTTATTGGAAAATAAAAAAGGGGCACATGTCAAAATAAAAGAGGTGAACTCAATTACATTTTCGGAATCAGGAGGCCTATTTTATTTTAGGAATTACAAATACCTTTCCGATTTTGAGAATTACGAACCCTTCATCATTTTTGGAATTACAAATTTCGGAATAAGGAACCCAATTTGTAATTTAGGTGTTTTAACTGTTCGGAATAACGAACTTTTATTTTTTTAAATCATTTTCTGCTATTAAGTCATTACCGATTATTTGATGATAATTTATTTACGCCTATACAGTAACCCGAATATGATCTTAAGGGAATTCTTTTCATTCAAAATGGTTTAAAAATACCAGTTTGCTTCAGATCTTTATTATACAGTCATACATGAACATGGATATCTCTATCCCCTTCCCGGAAACATTATCATCACTATATAGCTAGAATTTATTCAAATAAATACTTTATTACACATAAATCTTACGTGGAAATTTGCTTTGTTTACACGTGTGATACAACATAAATTGGATATGATGATAATTTTTTTCTTCTTGTCCTCTTACCGAGGTGTTTTATTTCACATATTTCATATTTCATATATTATATTTACATCAATTTACATTTTAACATAATACAAAAAAGATAAAGTATTTAATAAATAGTTATAACCTTAACATTCCTTGAAAAATTTCTTTGTGTTTCGTCAATAAAAAACTTTGTCCATTTGCTAGGTAATATCGTAGTTTTAATTTGAAATTAATGAACAGACTTTTACTATTGTACTCTTTTCCATCACACCGAAGTTTAATATACATTATGTATATATAATATGTATTGTCCTAAAATTAACAAGGAGTTTATCACAAATGTTTCCTTTTAACAAGACATGAAAAGTATCTTATGTTTCTTTACATATATCGCACTGGTCATTTTCCATTATACGCCATCTGCATAAATCATGTTTTGATGGAAATATGTTATGTACTATTTTAAAGTTAACTTGTTATGATGATAATACAATATAAATGTTAACAGGTATAGTAACATAAACAAGTCAGATCAAAAGAAGTTGAAGATTATACAGAACAAAATGGTGAGATTTATCAACTGTTCTGGTCCAATAACTCATGTTGGATACAGCGAACTTTCTAAAGCTGGTTTTCTTGAAGTCGACCAAAGATCAAAACAACTCGTATTGCATCATGTGCATAAAATATACCATACTAGGTCGAATCATTATATTCGATCCAACTTCGATCTTGTTACTGACGTACATGATTATAATACAAGAAATAGACGATTCAACTTTAACTTACCTGAAAGAGTAGGTAGTATTGGAAATTCGTTTTATTACAATGCCATAAAACATTGGAATTCCCTTCCCAATGGTGTAAAAGAAATAGGAAACTATGATCATTTTAAGAGGAAATTAAAGGAATACCTAATACTTGACAGTCAGAGAAGAGAAGTGAATGACATGTTATATGATTGAAATTTTTATTCTTCTGTCGGTTCATACTTTTTCATGTTGTATATACTTATGTTTTCGTACGTTATAGAATTTCTACAAATTCATCATTATTTTCCTCTTCTTCCTTCTCCTCTTTTTCTTCTTCTCCTTCTTCTTTTTCTTCTTGTACTTAATATCATTTCTATCATCAGTTTAAATGTTGTTATTATTATCTTTAATAAGTAGTTCTTTTAATTTTCTTATCTGTCTGTAAATATTACTATTTTAACTTATTAATTTTATACATGTCTGTAAGGGACCCCACTGGAAATAAGCTCTCGAGCTTTCGTGGGTTATCCTGTTCAAGCTGACTTTTTTTGATCTGTTATTATTGTATATTGTTGTATGTTGGAAGCTTGTCGAATAAAAATCAATCAATCAATCAATCAATCAACAGGAGAAAAGAAATGCAATATAATGGAATACATGAGGAAAATTTCTCTGTCATTCTTCAGCATTGCCATTGCTGTAGCTAAGACAAATAACCTCAATTAATGTTGATAAATAGAAGAGTATAGGGGAAAATACATAGAATCCTAATAATTCCAAAGATCTCAATCTTCATTCATTTATTTACATTTATTTATATATTTACATTTATTTTTCAGTTGTATTTTCTTTAGTATGCGATCTAGGTAGGTCAAACTCCTGGGTATTAATTCTGCCCTTCCTGCATTTCCCCAGGCCCTGATACTACCATAATCCCAGCATGTCCAGGTATCGATTTAATACACCTGGGTCGAGAGTGACAAATGTGGATAAAATACCTAGTTACAGAATATGTCAGGGGTGCAAGCTAGGTTCGACCCCGGTTGTAAAATTTCCTTCTCAAATGGATTGATTCATGCACTTTTTATCTATTGAAAAGTCGCTTTATAAAATGTGTAACATTATACGATGTGCGGCCTTGTATTTCCTGGCGGATAAAACTTGAAAGACCAATAAAATTGAGAAAGAGAGAGAGAGAGAGAGAAAACTTAATCAATCTTACCATCTAAAATCTGTTTAGCGCCAGCTAATGTGTGACATGGTGAATCCATATCCGCGAAATATCCGGGCATGGAGTTCGACGCGGATAGCGGATAAACTGGCCAGAATGCATGCATGACGGATCAGCAGAAAAAGCAAATAGACAAAAATGTGTGTATACTAGCAACATGAAAGGCATCATCAACGGTGCACTGTTTCCACATCATATGTCTTTGGAGATCTGAATTACACAGGAATTGGTAAGTTTATTCGTTCTAGGGGAAATGAAAATCAATTATTTGTTGATGTTCAGTATTGGAACATCATCGTATGATAATTATCATAAGCAGAATACTGAAAAATAACGGTAAACATGACGCCGTATGTGTGTCGAAATGGGGTGCAGTGTGGATGTGTGTGTGCATATTGTGAACGGATGAACGTAGTCCGCTGCCAGTGCAGTGCAACGGCTTACCCAGGCATTGCACTGGACTTGCCCGGCGGTATGCATGGTATGGGGGCATTGTGGAGCTCGAAAATCGACAGCAGGAGATAAAGTTATTGGCTAATTTTTGTAGTCTTTAAATTTTCACTGGTGTTTGCACCTTTGCGGAGATGACTTTCTGGAATATCTGCATACACCCACAATGTCAATGGCAGCCAGTGCAACCACTTGCTCGCCTTGCGCAGTCATTATTAATGAAAACAATGTTGGTGTGATGATGACTCGATGCGTCATTTGGTCTAAGAGATTATGACAAATGGAACATCTGTCCCTCAAATTAAACTTGAAATACTTTTCAAGAATATTAATACATGCAGATGCAGATGCTGTCTTTTATTGAATTATTCCTAACAAGTAACATGTTTATTTGATAATCGTTTTTATAATTTTGTAATTTTAAGTTTTTGGAATGTGATTGTAAATTTGTATACTTAAAGATTTCTGACAGATATCTTAGATTCACGCATATCATAATAATTTAGATCAGTTTACATCAAGACTAGAGTAAATTACAATTAAAGACTACACATGTGAAAATGTCTGTAGTACATGTACATGTACAGTCAGCTCTCTGACTCTGTCAGCTGTCTTTACCTACAAATGTACAAGGTACTCTGATTGGACTCACTTTCGAAACAAGAGTCGTGTCTTACAGATAATGACGTTGAAAGCAAGTTTAACAATGCCAAATCTAAGATGCAAAACCCTACATGTTATAAGTGTCTGTGAAATATTTTTTTAGGGCTTCAATATTACACCATTTCAAATGGTGTAATATTGAAGCCCTAAAAAATTGTGCTTCAAAATGATCATGAAGTGCCTCAAGAAAATAAAAATCTTTGAGTGACCGGTTTTACTATACCAGGTACTCATTTCCCCTATTAATAGACTAGTGGTTTTTTGAAATTTTGAATTCCAATCATAAATATCTTGATAATCAGATGGGTGATCGGCTTGTGAACGTTATGGGATTCCTGACTGACCTAAAGGTTTAGAATAATGATTGCAGCATGAGCTAAATCCAGGATTTTGTTTAGAATCTGAGACAAAGATACCCAACCCCTTTAAAGGTCGTTCCCAGATGTAAATTATCAATTTTTTAAATTGATATATGCATTTGTAAAAACCCAAATACATACACAGAAAAATCATGATTGGAAATCAATTATGCTATTGAGATTCAATGTTGAATCATGGCACATGTTGATTGAAAAAAAACTACATGTAGTATTATGTCCCAATCTCAAGCCATCCAAACTTCTAGGACATGGGATTACAGATAATTTAATTCAAATTTACAACAGAGAGCCTTCAGATGTTTTTATACACATGTACAATGTAAGTGTATTAGATCCAAATTGAGGGTACGGTATCTTCTACAGACTGTACTGTCTATCCAGACCCTTGTTGGCAAGTTTATTCTTTGGGGGAATGACTGCAACTGCAAGCTAAGTCCAAACTGACAAAAACTTTTCTTTTTCTTCAATATTTTTATAATTACTCATTTATTCCAAAGGAACTTGTAAACAAGGTAATTCATCTTCTTATCTAATGGTGCCAGGTTTTAAACATCTTATTTTGTTGAAAAGTTCAGACAAACTACCATCCTAGGAGTGCAGGGTGGGAGAGAAATAAAATTGAAAATAATAAAAGATAAAAAAACTAGCTACATGTAGATACATAATTATCACCGTCAGAAACTTAGGATTTCATGAAAAGTATGAAGTCAGATATTTCACCTTCGAGGCAACAACTAAAGTTGCAGCCTGAGTAGTAGTGAGTAGGATGATAATTTGCATCAAGGTAATTAATACAAAATACATGAAACTGCATGAACAGCTTTAGTGCTAATACTGCATGTATAGTTATTAACTGTATGTCTAACGAGGCATAAATGATCAAAGAGTCTTGCACATTGAAAGTGATATTGATTCCAATACCGATTTACTTTTGGATACTAAAAAGGTCACATTATATTCTCATCTCTAACAAAAAGAGGAATCAGGAATGTAATGTGTGAATCTGTTTCAATATTGACGGATCGGCTGTAAGCTGCCATCAATCACTCATGTGGTCTATGTTTTATTCATGTTCCAAGTCAAAAGCACTTTCACTGATCATGGAAATGTTAGGTTATTCCAAAGCTTTGGAGCAGCACAACTGAAAGTGCATTCTCCAAGAGTTACTTTGTTTTTGTGTGAGGTTTCTTTAGAAGCAGCTTGTGTACATGTCATTCATATATGGATGTGATTTAAGAGATAATAAATCAGACAAATAATTTTGGGCTTGACATCAGTGATATTTGCTCTACTGGATTTATTTATTTTGTGACGAGGTTCAGTTCGCAATTGGACTTTTTCCCAAATCAAATTGAATTGGGTTTTAGGTTCTAATGGTTTAGGGTAAGTGTTTCTTTTACAGTCAAACAATTGTTGCCAAAACACATGTCAGAGATTTTTCTAGACAAAGTTGTGTCTTTTAGAATCTTTCACCTTCTATCATTTTGAGTACCTGTACTTTAACATGGATCCATGTTCATGGATATTAAATGTACTTGTAATCATTGTGCAATACAGAAGTTACATTGATTACTCTCCAGTTGTCTGGTTGCTAGGGAAGACTTTGACCGTGTTTTTCTTCATTTTTAAAAATATTGCTCCTTCTGTTGTAATACTTTGTTCACTACGCAGGAGTTTCAAGAACCGTGTGTGTTTACTTTCTGGACATGCTATGAACTAAACATACACATAAAGCCACTATTAATTGAATAGATCCCCTGGTTGTTTTGTTTGCTCTATTTTGTTCATGAAGGAGATGTAGTCAAACATTTCACCAATTAGCAAACAGACCACTGTTTGTTTGGACTCCTTTTTTGGATGGTATGATACTAGTGCTCTCTAGTGTTTATACAGTAACTGGTAGCCCTTAGACCATTTTGAAAATTCAAGTTTCATGCATTTCTCTACAACAGTAGTTACATGTACAGTGAAACCTGTAAATAAAGACCGCTCAAGGGAAGCAAGAAAATGATCTTTATGTACAGGTTCCTTTAATATCTACATGTAGGTTTCAATGTGAAACTTTGCTCAAGGTGGTCTTCTATAAAGGTGGTCATTAAAGCATGGTTTACTGTATTAATGCGGCCCTGAAGATTTGCAGAGATTTACCTGACATCACAACAATTACATATCATGCCATTGCCAACATGCGTTCTAATTTTAACCCTTTGTCTGCTTTTATTGACGAATGGCACAAACTATGGACGGCTGTGGCTGACTTTTGTCTCTTACAAAATATGTATGAAACATAAATAATATTCCAAATAATGTGGTATTCAAGGATATTATTGTGTAATGAACAAACTGTTCAATATAGTAAATCACAATATATGAAAGTTACACTAGGGTTAGAAATTAATGGCTGTTTTCTGTTTGAAGTGTGAAAAGCATATGAGCCACTGAATATTCTTTTTTTTAAACAAATTTTCTGTTTGAAACCATATCTACTTTATATACCTGTAGCCTTACACGAACATCACATGTACTTGTATTTGCAGTGTACATTGTGCAGTGTAAATGAATCCTTGGATTATACAGTGAGTAAACCTTTCATGTTGAATGTTAATTCTTGTTCTGCCTCTTTTTTTAATCAATGAAATGGATGACGACTATAGTCACCTAGCTTGACTGCCTTGATTTGTGCAGCCCCGATTCACTTCCCGCTCCCCAATAATGATATGCCACCCACAGAATATGAGGCATAAAAGTAAAGGATTAGTGTGCAGATTCAAGCCAGGTTCATGGATTTTACATTTTTTCTGCATTTGCATTGAATCAATCAAATTGGACTTTGGACACTCTCAAAAACAGAATTCCGGTATGAAACTAAAAGTTTCATTGAAAGAGTTAGGAAGTACCTTATGCAGATTGTGATTCGATATGTTTACAACACTCTAAACGACTATTAGCCCTAACATCTCAATGCTGTTTTAAATGCTTCATGTAATATGAGAAATGTATCCCTTTACATCATCTTGCACTGGCTTCACCTCTCCTGCAGTGTACAAGTACACATATTCAGTCCCATGCTTTTTATTTAGTCACTTCTTTGCTTAATTTCAGGGATTTGGGATGCAAAACACTTTTATTTTGCAAACTCCCATTTGTTTTGATGGTAAGATGATTTAGATCATACATACAAACAAATATACAGGAAAAAAAAAAAAAAAAAAAAAAAAATCAAATCAGGTTTTCATTACGCATATTGTATAGCCAGCACTTTAGAACTGTGTTGCGGAAAACATGGTATCTTTTAATTAAAGGCCTTTGTAGGATTTATCATTAAAATCTATAGAGCTATGTGAGAAATTTCAGATGGCACGTTTGCGACACCATCCATGATCACACACATAAACCAGTTCAAGTTTCCACACGGATTCAGGAGCAATCTTTATCACCATGGCGACCTAATATCATGCTCCGCCGTGCCCTTTCTGCCATGTGTATGGCCTTGAGAGAGTGGCATGGACTTTGTTGGTAATTCTTTGTGCAGCCGCAGAATGGACAGGTCATTGTGGAACATGATCTTGCAGGTTTTAGGTGTCGCCTAAATATAATTAGATGGCCTACATCTAGGGCAGTTCACTCGTTGCTTGACTGTCGATGGACAGTGTTCATCTGTAGCTCTGTTTTATTCATACATGTGTATGGCATTATGGCCATGAGGCCCAAGTTAAAAATTAAGACAATTTAATTT